CGGGGGTTCCACTTAAGGTAGCGTCGGCTTTCCTTAAGGTGCGGCTTAGACTGAGTGATTGGGATGATCACACAGAGGAAGTTCTGATGAAAACCTAGTAGAATCAAGTAGGGAATATACATGATTCTGTCTGCTCTATATACTGTCGTCCGTGTGCACAGACCAATACTACGTTCGGTAGGTAGATGTAAGTGTGTCTATACAAGGGCATCTTATCTGATGCCATGCGGTTGATTATCTATACATGAGGCTTACCATGCCTCTCTTATCTGTCCTCAAGGCGTAGCATGCCTTTGAGTCTAACTGCGCATGCTAAGGCATGCGGCTTCTCTTCTGACCATGAGGCAGAGCTTCCTCATGATCCGGGTCGAGGACCATCTAGGTCCGATCATATGTTGCCTAGGCTGGTCTAGGTCAACTAACGGCATCCAGGCCGTTCTAGGCGTCTCTACGAGTCTCCGTTGAGTCGGTAAGTCTTCCAAGACGGTGCATATGGTGGGATAGGGGCTAAGGTCATGATGACCTCCGTAGGAGGGGTTCTCGGTTACATGTTATTGTAACACTCCAAGCCATCGAACCCAAAGGACTTCCACACTCTGAGACGAACGGTTCCGAGCTTGCGGTCCAGTGTGCAACACCTGAATGCGAAAGGCACGCAATACCAGGGCATACCAGAACGGATGTGCATTCTCGCCTTCTTCCCTCGATAAAGTCATAACAGCACAGTTAGATCCTGGTCGCATCGAGTCTTGATCACGCCGCACATCATATGTTGTGTAGTTGACTTGAAACCGACGCGGTTGTTGGACTTGAGAGAGGTTGTCTATGAAACGCAGCTCATTCCGATCTGAAGCAGAGAAATGGCGCTCATCACCGTCATATTCAAGACATAGCATACGGGATAGGATGTGATTTTTGAGTTTCGGAATGAAGTCCTGGGATGTGTCAGTCAAACAAGGTGCACGAAAGACTAACACTTACTTTGACTGCTGGATCAGATGAATGATCACGGAGCAATGTTGCAAGGTTTATGACATTGACCCATGAATCCGATAAGTGGTGGTGAAGTTCCGGCAATGTCTCAATAGGTTCCTCTATATCGAGATCCTGCTGCTGCCGCCTGAGGCGCGTGTGCCGCCTTTCATGTTTTGCGAGTTGCTTCCGAACATCTTGTTTGTTGGTCATCCGGTAAAACTTCTTGATAAGACGGTGTGCTACCTCTCCCTGTATCCAAATTAATCATGAGTGTCCATACTCTTGAAAATGAACTGACTATTTGCGTAGTATATGAATCAGTGGTGCCATACGTTCTTATTGACTGCACATAGTCACCGAGAGCGTGAAACTTGTATGTAAAGAGATTGAATGATTTCGGTCGAGGTCCTGTTCCATTAGTCGTGTTCATTCTGGATTGAGATTCAAACCCTTTGTGTTGTCTTTTGTAACGTGCAGATACCTCAGTTGGAAGTTCCATAGTGCGAAAGGCGGAACAAGTCAACTGGCTAAATTTTCGAAGTTGGGTTCCCAGTCTTCGAAGTGACTGGTCAAGCAATTGAAGGGTGTCGTCCGAATGAAGTCGCATCTTTGCGAGGGCATGCCATTCTGCCATGCGGAACAGGAGCACCCTGATAATGTTGTCGTGCTCTTCTGGGAAAAGCCCCTCAAACGCTGGTATTGCGCACTGGAATGAATAAGCTGGTCAGAATACATCCAATTTGTGCATGGGACGGACTTACCTGCAGCATATCTTCGAAATGCCGAGCTACTCGCTGTTTCATTGACGAAACGTTCTTTGGGAATCGTCGAATGGAACCTTTCCCAAAAGAGGGTATTAAGCGAAACCTGCGTATAAAGCATCAAAGGTATGAATTGATCAGAGTCGAAAGTACACTATACCTTTCATCAATGGTGACAATCTTCCGGGGGTCAACTGCAAAGAGTAGCTGCATCAAATGCATCAACACCGCTTTCAATATTCCAAGCTCAAATTCGTGCAACAGATCAACCACGATGGCGGGGAAAAGATTGAAGCCTAATGGCGAAAGGCGGTCTACGAAACTATTCTAGTAGGGAGATATCATTTCCATATTGCGAGAGCAAGCATCATACTCACAACAGTAGGTACCAACGAAACATCTTTTAAAAGACCCTCGACTAAGGCTCCCTTGATGGGAGCACCACGCGTGTATATCATGTTGCGGGCTTTGGATACTTTCTCAGTAAAATATTTGCATAGCCGGTTCATTCTTTGTGAGATGTCGCGCAAAAATTCAATGCAATTGAACATTGACTTCGGCGTCAAACAGCGAGGGCACGGGCAATTGCCTTTATTGTGTATGGTCGCCAAGAGGACTCTATTGTTATCAACACCCATTGTCAAAATAATATGAGACGAGGACGAGAACAGACATACTTCTCTGGGTAGTCTGCTGAATAGGTAAATATTCTTGGGTAAACACGACGATGCACACCATCGTGGCACTTGATCACAATGCCATTCTCGTAAGCGTGAATAAATTTGTCATCCAACAAGATATGCCAGACCGCGTGGAAAAGCTCCCGCTTACAATGGGTCAGTAAATCGTCGAAGTTCTTTCTCTTTATGAAGGTGGAGATAAAGCTCGTAATCGAAGCCAGAAGCTACATGAGATGCGAATCAGTGATGAAGCTCCAAGTGACAGAAATCTAAAATCTTACAGAGGGAATAAATGCTATTGGGTGGCAAGCGCCAGAGTTGGGGTCTGAACGGACATACTTAGACAGATTTCCAAAGAAAAGGTATACCGGCCATGCCGATGCGCTCCCGAACTGGGTTAGGTGAGTGGCGTCTGACCAGAACATGAGACCAGCAATGACTCTCTCCAATTTGCAATTATCATCTCTTCTTTGTTTCTGTAGCTCGTCGTGGGCCTGTAACCATGCATCCGAAGTGTAAAGCTCGTCGTATAGACGTTGCTCTTCACCTGTGACGGGAGACTTCCAGATACGCTTGAAGGGTGTGAGATGGAACCATTTTGAAGACCGTTCCGAGAATGCGGCTTGGATGACTGAAATTAGTGGCTGGTAGAATAACCCGGAAACAGAGAATTCATGCCCATTCCCTCTAGGATTCTTTTCCTTCGATGGCACCATAATCTTTACATCTGTGCTCTTCCACCCATCCCGCTGCAGAAGGTTCATGGTATCGTCGTCTTCAGACATATCGAAATGCTTCATTTGCGTATTAGGATTGAAGTGCTCGAAATCGTCCGCTTTCATCACATCATTTACAAGACACTCGACCTCCATCACCGACTTTCGATCGCTCCCTGTCACCATCCACGACATTAATCTCCAGATGGACATATTTTTCCAGGGCCAGGGTGGTTCACGCTGTGAAGGGGTACCCAAGAGTGCCTCACCATCTTGTATGCCGGTGTCACTGATGTGAGACTCGGCAGGACGTATATTTGACAGTTCGTCTGCTGATACAATTGCATCTGGATTAGTGATGCCGGAGTCCGGTTCGGAACTTCGGTTCGAACGCGAACCCTTCCGAACCGGACTGTCCGTTCGGTCCGAGGTTCAGCCTACGGTAAGAACCGAACCTATTATTAGGTTCAGCGTTCGGCTGATGCCTCGGATTTGTGAACCCGTCTGGACCCGTTCGAACGGTTCTTTCCTTCTGTCTATGATCCGCTTGAGGTCCTCAGCTTATTGCTATCCATCTATCCTAATATTTTTTCTGATCACCTGGCAACAAACTCAAGACGAAGTCCCAAAGTTGCAGGGCAAGTCATATGGAGTGTTCAAGCTTTCAGCCGAAGAATGGAAGAAGTTGGAACTGATGCATGACGTGCTTCAGGTATGTGCGAGTGTCCAGTCGAGTCTCAAATGTTGTATTAACCTACTGTATAACCAGGAACCTGCCAATGCTCAACAATCATTTTCGGCGACTCGCGAACCTACCATATGGCGTGCGATTCCAGTCCTCGAGTATCTCCAACAAACTTGGCAAAACATGGCTGGTTCGTCAAAGTTTGACGACTTTTCATCCGCGATCAACTCTGGCCTCGACAATATTCGCAAATGGTACCACAAAATCGACGAAACTGATGTTTATTTCGTTTGCCTCGGTATGTATTTTATTTATTATGATGCCCTATCTAATGTACAATGTAGCGCTCGATCCTAACTATAAGGTGGCATACGCGAAGGGTAAATGGGAGCCTCGCGACTTTGACGAGGGCATGAGAAGCTTGCGGAAGGTTTTCGACAAATATTATCATTGCAATGTCTCGCCCGCCACTGCAGAGCCAGCTGCTGTGGCTCCTTCCTTGCTTGCTCGCCAGGGGTCATATGGCCATAGCTGGATGCGCGATGCTGTCAAAACTCGTGTCGCAAATGACACCGCAAATCGAAGACCTCACCAGGAGCTCGACGAGTATCTTGCTGCCCCATTAGAAGATGTTGAGAATATAGTGGCGTGGTGGGGCGTGAGTTTTTTCGCATCGTGTTTCCTTGCAAGTTGACTTAAAATGCCTTTAGCACCATTCCATTCAATATCCCACCATCTCTCGCATTGCAAAGGATTACCTCGCTATTCAAGGCTCTGCTGTCGCATCTGAACGAGCGTTTTCGAGTGGCGGCATCACTGGGACCACGCGCCGTAATCGGTTGTTGCCAACAACATTTGAGGCCCTACAGCTGTTGAAAAGTGGGTACTGTCAAGGCCATATTTCCACAACGGTTCAAGCTGAGTTTGCTGCTGCTCACGAACACTCTGCCATGGACGAAATTTAGCTACTCATTTACTGTTCATGTATTTCTTGCAATTTTTGTCAATTTATATGTAGCGTTCGAGCGTTCGAACGCGTTCTGAACTCGAACCGAACGCTTGTGAACGCGTTCATCAGCATCCGGTCCAGCGTTCATCCTCCTTGCCTGAACGCGACCGATGGTTCAGTTCGGCGTTCGCATTTAGAGGCCTAAGAACCGAACCGAACCGGACTTCGGCACCACTAATCTGGATCGTATGAAGGGCGATGGCGATATTGGCGAGCGATACTGAATGTATTGAAACATGTGCGGATAGAATCGAACACGTGAAGAATTACACGAGTGGGATGTGAGTTTGGCTGATCCTGTGCAACAGGTAAAGGTGCTTGTGGAAGCTCGTCCCTGTATCGTAATGGAAGTCTGAGTATGCGCCTTGGGCGTGAATCGTGATTTGTAAAATCTGGAACATCGGAGGGGTCTTGGGGAGGAGAACCTGGACTAGTAGTCTGATTGGAGTCAATCAAATTATTGGTGGACGGGGAGGGAGCAATGCTGCGGGATTGATCAAGTATCGGGGAAGTGGGGTTGAGTATTGATTCTGGATGGCTGCTCGAGGATGAAAGCACCGTGGTCTTGGATAAGGCTAATCAGCCTATCACCCATGGATGATAATAGAAGTATCACGTACTTGGGTTTCATCTGATGGCTTCATCCTCTTAAACACTTTTGTATGCTTTGGGTCCTCACGAGCACGTCGTTTAAAATTCTGCGCCTGGAGATCTAGGCGGTGCTTGTAGTGGTGGCAAGCCCTCCGGTGTCGAGCGAGCCCCGCGCTGTCAGAGAATTCACGAGGACATGGCAATCCACATCCCCAGCGATGATGGTCCATTATTAAAACACACAACGCCAGACAGAGAAGGCAGAGGGTAGTTCGAATATTCATTTCAACTTGAACATGTCCAAGATTTGAAGTCACCGTGACGGTAGTAGTATTGACTGGTGGGATGATTGAAGTCGAGTCAGCAAATGTCCAAGTCACCTCACTACGTAATTCTTACTAACAGCTCCACCAGTGGGTGGCCGCTCAGGAAGTTCTAGTGACAGCTGAGGTCTGGCCCGGGGTTGTCTCACTGTGTCAATGCCAAAGGTGTGCTGGTACAACTTGAGTTCAACTACTAGTATTGTATCAATGGAAGAAAGCCTCATGGACGAGTACAATGTGATGGTACATCCGAGTCAAGGGTATCAGAAATGATGGCATGCTGGAATACATGTTCATGATGAGGATAGATGTTAATGGTGGGACTGAGGGACCGTAACTATGAGTATCAAGGTGACTTGAGTGGCAGGCATCTACTTGCCAATGTTGCTAGTACTGTCTTACGGTACACTCCGGCTCCGGGCAAGTGCATCAGTGCGAGCACGCGTGAGTGAACGTGTGTTCCTGGCTGGTCCTGAATCAAATGCTTCGTCCGCTGTGCGCTTGCCAGTGGCTTCTGCATCAAACGCTTCATCCGCTGTGCGCTTGGTACCCTCAGGCCTACTGCCCATATACCAAGACTTATACCTACTGTATGCCATCGCCATGCTTGCAAAGGCAAGCTTAGACAGCATGGCATCCCATGTAAAGGGGAGAGTAACACGCGCTTCCAGCAGAGCCGAAACATCAACGTTTGGGCTGGCCTTTCGAGCCAACTCTGCATACTTGTCCCTCATCCGGGACAGCCCCCTCTCTATCATGCGTGTGACTTTGTCCATCAACTTGTTCGGAAATAATTCCTGTTGTAAGTATATAGTCAGTAATAAATCACAAAGTGCCGGTGTAACTCACGCCACGTGCTGTGAGTTCTGGGTCTCGTGTGTCTAATTCAATGTGCCCACTGTTGTTTTGCACCCAGACCTGGAGATGCACGCTTTCCATCGCATGCCAGGGGTGCTTTTCAACCACAATGTCCATGGGTTTTTTAAGCGATCTTGGTCCAGTGCGGTTGGAAAGGAAGGCATCGGAGGTTAACAATTTCTTCTTTTGTAGATGTATCCACGCTTGACTGGACTCTGCAGGTGAAGTGTAGTGGACACGTTCTTGGATCTCGGCGATAAAGAGTAATACAATGCCTGGGAACTCTTTGAGCCTGTCCCTGAGCCTCTGTAGTAGATCGGCTCGGGGCTGTGATACAGCCACTTCGCCCATGACAGGATTAATTACGATGGGGGGGTCAGTGAGGGTAGTGACCATGTGGAGGATATCGGGTATACATTTCACCGTGTCCCCATCGATGGTCAAGTTGGTATGGGTGTCTGAGGACAACAGTTCTTCGGCAATGAAGTCCTGCAGAACAAGATCCAGGCGTTCCAATGATTTGCTGATAACCTTGATTATAGCCTCGTGTATGGGAGAAGGCATCTCAATGACAAGGGTATGGGTATCGCAATTATATTCTAACCTAGAAAAATTCTGTGTTATCACTCATGAAAGATTACCAGAACATATTTACCTTGGTCTTGCAGGGCAGTCTTCGATCTTGCAAGAGATATAGTCGTAGTCTGCTCGAGTGATATTTTGAAAAACCTGACAACATAATGACGAAGTAAACGAATATTGTGGCACATGTACATACCTTGCAATCTGTCTCGCGATTCGATTGTGAGACAAAGCTAAGCACCTTGTGTCGCCTAGCAATGGGAGACTCGGTCAATTTTGAATTGACCCCACGGAAGGTGGCTTGAGATGAGGAAGTGTCCTTGGTCGCTGGCGTTCTTGCCTGGCTCACTGCTAACCCAGGCCTGGTTGAAGACCGCTTGTATGGTTCAATAGTTTTCCTAGAGTTGCCCTGCCTGTTGTTTTTTCTCAGTACAGGGCTATTGGATGAGGAATGACTCCTGATAGTGATTGTGTCGGTCATGGACATGACGATTACGATTGCTCAAAGCTGAAGGCGGCCCTTCAATTGCTCGCAGGCAAAGGTGTGATTATGTAATTGATCTCCACAAACAAAAAACTACTCCGAGTCAGGCTCAGGTTAGCACTCCAATAATGAATTAATTACACACAGGCGGCAGCGCATCGCCCAAGGACATGGCGTGGAATTTCTAAAGCTCCACGGGTCTTGATGATCAATTTGATCGGCGAACTGGCGCCAGACATTGAGCTTAGCTTGAACCGGTCACATCCCTGAAGTTCCCATTAATGAGATGATGATTGTCATAAGTAGTACTACCTTGGAGAGCAACTCAGGCTCGAGTCCGAGTCCCAATCACATCATGATGTCACAGTTATGCTGGTGGAATTTAAAGACTCGACGTTCAATTTAAAATTTGGCACACTGTACCGAAACCATTCCAAGTCCATTTGTTTTGGAACTATCCTGCTAACTTTCACGATGCGGCTGTGCTTGCCACATGAGATCGAAAGGATGATTTTTCAACTTGCAGCAAGCGCTCACCCTAAGCGTCATTTGCCCTCATATCTGCTAGTTGCTGGAAGAGTTCATGATTGGTAAGCACTACTGTAGCTGGAATCCTGGAGTTGACTCTTACCTAGAGTATGCTGCATAGGGTCGAAGAATTGATGTACCACACTGTGATCCTCACCAGTGAATTTCAAGCACGTGATTTCATTGACTCCCACCCTCTTGCTTCTGCAAAAGTGAAATCACTTTGTCTTGATGGTACTTTGCAGCTCATGACAGCGGCCCGCATCATAGAGCTGTGCCAGAGCATTGACAATCTTGCCCTCTGGGTTCTACCTGAAGGGGATATGCCTAATGTCCCAGCTTGCCTCTTGACCGCCTTAAACAGGCTTCCCCTGTCACGACTGTCCATTCGTTTGTCAGCCATCTTCTGCAGAACGGCAACACCATATTTGCCATCTATCCCATTGTTTGGAAAAGTCACCCACCTTGAATTACTTGAAGGTTGGGTACTCTTTGGCTTTCCTCAGGCTACCGGCATACATCAACTCACTCAACTTACCCATCTGTCTCTTCGAGTGGTCGCCCACCAGACAGCACCAGCATTACTACAGATGATTCTCGCAGAATGTGCGTCCCTGGAGGTTTTGGTTTTGCGCGTAATAAATGGAGTTGAGGATATAGAGGCGTGGTTGAAGGTCAAAGGACTTGATGATCCTCGTATCATGGTAACTGTGATGGACCCTCATAACTTCTGGGACAGCTTGACAAGCGACGACTCGGAGACAACAACTATAGCACTATGATCTCCGTAGTAATGAAAGCAATTGAGAATAATTAAATGAATATTATTGAATACTAAGTAATACAATTCGCTCATATGTATATACAGCGCGTATTGGGGGATACTGAGCATTGGAACTGTCAGCTGAGGGGTGGTGGCTATGCCCGTGGCCTTGGCTGTGATGAGACGAGTGCGAATGCAAGGGCAAGTGTGAATGCGAATGTGAGGGGGACGGAGAGGGTGATGTGATGTTAGGGCTGTACTCGCCAGGGATCGCCGGGCTTGGAGGGACTGGGGAAGGGAAGTGACTGGGTGCATCGAGGGCATTGAGCTCTTGGACTAGCATAGGCGACACTGCATAAAATTAGTGATGAGTTGAAATGGGATGGGGGGACGTACCAGATCTGATCGCGTAGCACAGCTGGATAAACGCGGAGGAATTCAGGGTGGCTGAATTCCCAAGTTTGGGATGTGATTGATGTGCGGCGTTGGGCATGTGGAGTCTGTTAGATGAGATGTCAGATGGCGAAATGACTGAATGGAGGAACAGACTCTGTTGATTTTATGAAAACCATACATGTTGAGTTGGCGGACAAAGCTCGAGAACTGTGGGGGTGTAAGTGGGTTAAACGATAGTGGGCAAATTACGGACGTTGTTGTGCTTGAAATGAGAGCCGAGAATGCTCCTGCTGAATTCACCTACGTTTGAGACAACAAAGCTAGAAAGAGTGAATAAGGGGGGACACGCAAAAGCGATGATAGATGACGACTGACCTTGTTCTGAGTTCAGTCCACGCGACGAAAAGCTGACTCTTTGGATCGTTGATCATCCTGTAGACGTTGAATGAGAGATATGAAACACAGCATTGACTTGGAACTTACTGATAGGACTGAAATTTGGAGGAGATACAGGTGTTATTGGGGATACACTGTGATGGAGATTGATTGGTGAAGTGACTGAAAGTGAACTGAGGTTCAGCATTAAATTACTGCTAGTCGGTCTCGATTCTGTCGAAGGTGATCGTTGATCCGGAGTGTAACAGTAGCCTGGCGACAGCAAGACGGGCGATGAAAATTCCGGCCATGCTTTCAGATATGATTATATATAGTTCGTGTAGTTTGCGAGAGCCCTTTCGGCTGGCAAACAGCGCACGGACATGGGCGTCGCTATGAAGAAACAGAGTCCAAGTCAGACTCAAGGTTAAGCACTAAGGTGTGAAGTGGAATGAAGGTTATACATTACTAGTCTTATTTAGCGGCATCTAGGCTCATACACTGATGTTCCGCTGCTTGTGCACTGGTTGAAAAGGTTGAAAGCAAGACAAGGTCAAATGTTTCACTCGGGTGTTCACGGTAGGATCGAAAAATGATACATGTTGAGCTTCCACACACGTCACGTGTGTGGAAGCTCAACATGTATCGTGAGGCCTAAAGTAGGAAAACAAAATACACGGGTTCCATTATCACGCGCGACGGGTTAACTTAGATATATCATATCATAATGGCTCAGTTATTGTTTTTCTTCTCTACTTCTCTCTCGTGGGGCCCCCGGCCCAGGACCAAATGTCTTCAGCTGCCAGGCGATAGCTCTGGGCTGGTCACTGCATGAGAGTCCCTCACCTAGGGAAACACTGCACCTCCCTTCAGTCGGATGCCTCGCTTCCCTCCCATTTAGGCCTATCCTATTCATAAAATCACACAAAATGATATATTCAATGTCTATGCTCAAACACGGTATGCTTGATTTTTGCAGAAACTGTCATGGCTGACACTTAGGTTGGTGTACTCATCAGGCAACATGCATAGTGACCCCGCCCTCATAACACTCCCACTACAAGACCCATCTTCATCTTACCATATTCCCGCTCTGCTCTACAAGCAAGTCGATTTTGAAGCGTCCTCCACCCGCCCAAACTGGTATCATCTCTCGAATCAAGGGTTTTCTTCCAACACAATCTCCCGATTCTGCCAGCCGACGACATCAAACCTCTCAAGCGTGCCCATTTTATACTTCCACAACTCGTTACAGTTTACCCTATATCCTCTGTCAACCCTCCATCAACACCCACACTCAAAGATGAGAAGCGGGCAATCGAAGAGAGAGAGGCAGAGAGACGCAAGAGAGTTGTCAGAGGCAACTCTATTAGTCCGAACGAAACGGAAGAATGGTGGAATTTAGAGAAGGTGGAATCGTTCTACAGAGAGTGTTGCGCATCAAGAGAGGAAGAATCAGATCCCGCGATTTCTGCCGCCTTTAAGGTGATAAAATCTACTTGTGGGTTCCGAGAGCACATCAAGCTAATCTCAGATGGCAGCGCGCATCTGGCACAAACCCTTGTTCCGTCGATCTGTCTGGTGTACAATTGACTCCCACATCTGCTGCAATTCTCTCTGACGTGTTTATGATCGAGTGCCCGTACAGGGCCTGCCTCCTCCACGCCATCCATCATCCATGCCTCCTCAAACAACTTACACGCCATACGTACCTCGTGCTCGCCGAGGTGTTGCAGCAGCACAACCTCTCCCGCTCTCGGCTTACCGATGCTCGCCATGTCAGCCTCATCTGGTGGGCTTGGTTCTTAGGACACAGAACGGTATCATTGTTATTCATTTTGATAACCGATTGGTCAAGCTTCATTCGTGATCACAGGTATCAGCAATGGCATTGGTAAGTCTTTCTCAGTGAGTATTACAAATATGTGCGGCTGACGTATTGCACAGGGACTGGAGCTGCAACCATGTATATAATATTACGTCCTTCCTTCAACTTCCACTGTCTGTCCTTGCTGCGATTGCACTGATGCTGCTACCAACTGCAGATACACGATATAGAACTGGTCAGTGCATAGATTTAGCATAAACATTATGAATTTTATTTACCTTCCAAGTCTTGCATCAAAATCTATACACGCTCTGGCTGCGGCAGCACGTTCATTGTGTCGATGACATGGACATAGAAATCCATGATCATCATAGGACACAGGTTGTAAAATATATGAAGGCTTTTTGGCGAGACGATGCACATATCAATGATATCATCCAGTGTCCTCACTCCCATTCGTTTCAAAGGGGTGAGGAATAACTCTGGCCATTGCCGCGCCAGCTCATCATTGTTGAGCTGCCCCATGAAAGCTTCCAAAGTGGGGTATGTAATGGATGGGTCAGTTTCAATCTCAAAATCAATGAGTATGCTTGAAGTGATAGGAGTTACTGACATGGGGTCGCGATTAGTACAGATAAAACACTTAGACTCGGACTTTAATGTCACGGTAATGTTGATGACAGAGCTGAGGGTAGTCACAGTAGCCAAGTCCAAGCTGAATGTTGCAAACTCCAAGGGCGCAACATAACACCATGACAAATTCAGTTTAGTAGGTTGAAGTCAGACAGAAAGAACTTAAGCTAGAAGACTGAATGCAAGCTCCGATCTGAGGGCGCAACTTGTCAGTGCTCAATGATTCTTCTTGGCAGCCAAAAGTATGTTCCGAGAAACCGAAAAGCAAAACCAAGGTACTAGTAGTATTTGAATGCATCATAGAACATAATCAATTATATACAGGCGGCATCTCTCAACCATGAAAGGAAGGGTTGTCATAAAGTCTTTGTCCCTAAATGTGATATCGCCGCTTACAAGGTCCGGTACCAAGATGATGGTGAGGTCCACATCCAGATACTCTAATTACAATGGAGTATTTTACATCACAGCGACTCCAACCAGCTTCTCAAATCGGTCTTTGAAAATGTCATCGTGGTTTGGTGGGTGACCATGACTCGGATACACGGGTATCCTTCATTCCATCCTCCACCATGTCTCAGTCTCCTGACCATAATCTACAGAACGACAACCATAGTGCACTCAAACGGCGTATTGCTGCTTTAGAGGAGCAAAACGCTGACCTACGGGGAGAACGCAGCAATAAAAGGTGAGCACTACCACTGTTAATTGCTGAATTTATCTTCATGATGCCACTTGTGTTTTGCAGCCGTGCTGATCCATATCTTCTTGCTGGGTGAGCTATTCGGCGGCTCGTGAGCCTCAATTGCAGAGTCAAGGACCTCATTGGAGAATATGACCGAAGGACCACAGTATGTGGTGAAGATGATAGTGTACAGGTTCAACACATGGAAGAGTAAGTACAATTTTACTTCAGTTGGCAGTTTGATCTGACGTTCAAAATTCAAGGGAAGAACGTCTTTATGAAACATTCAAGCAGTTGCTGCGCTGGGTCCCATGTGTCCGCGACCTCGTCTACTCCCAAAGCGATGGATATCAACTTAATAATGCCTATCAAAAGGTAAGTCGCACATTGTGCAAATAAATCATACTAATGATGAACTCGATTCAGCTAAATAGAGGCGCAGATTCGGCCCGGGGTGACGATGCTGCTTCACTTAAGCTTGCAGTTGCTTCTTTGCTGAATGAGGCACAGCCTACCCCCAACCCACCAATCTCTTCGCGGAACAAATCTGGTCATGGATTTTATAATGATGCGACCGCCGAACTTCTCTGTCCGGTAGACTTTAACTGGGCAGATAAGAGGTACAATGTTTGCTATGCGACTGGCTTATATATCATAGTGCTGATAATGACCGCAGAACACAGGAAGGGATATGAAACTACGATCATAACTTCCAAGTTACTGCACACTCTTGGCCAACCTTCATGTACAAGGATGGTAAGTATGATCGCAAGGACCCGACGAAAGGGCTTTTCAAAAGTGCTTTACTTCTCAGGGTAGGTTTATTGTCCTTCCTAGACCTTTGGGGTATACTGGCACTCAAATGTTAAATCTTAGACGTTCAAACACATATTTACATCCCCTAGCTCTGCCGGCGAGATGCAACCAGATGAAGAAGCATTCCATCGGGAACCTTCATACAAGCGATCAAGGACCTTAGGAGAACGACGCACCAGGTCTGATGTTGCAGCGTTATTAGGAATGCGGTCAGTTCAGCCACGAGCTATTGCATATTCAGCAGTCCAGGTGCATTAAATTATTTCCCATTAACAATGACTAAAGCTACTTCGCTAGTTGCATTTTGCCTTGTCGAGCTGTGGGTCCTGGCGAACTGTCGATGATGAGTTCGATCACCACCAATTTTACATTCATATGATCAACTATTTCGAACATCCGCCAACATCTACAGCCAAAGTTTCCGTTGAAAACCTACTCATTTGGTGGAACCGGTGAGTGTGTTTCCAACACTGTAGCTTTCTGTTCACTCATTTTGCACACATCATGATCACAGACAGATCTTTGGCCCTCGTAATGTGTCCTCTTACTCACCTCAGATTGCAGTGCAGTACTCGGTTGCCAACACTTCGGCCAAACGCTAGGGCTGCGTAATAACAATGTACCACTTATTTGTATCTTATGCTACAAGTACACGATGATAATGAATTGAGTTCTGACTCGAGATTTGAAGGTGTGGTCATGTTGAGCATCATTTCCAATCACCGTCTCAGATCACAGCTAATATATAAGATCATATGGGACCAACCAACCAAGAAAGAAATAGACCACTAATAACAAAAAAAATAGTGAAGACCATCATCTACCACATCTTTCTATCAGTATAACACCATCCTCAAGGTGGGGAGGTCTCGGGAAGGCCGGATAACTGAGACATTATTTAACCGCTGATATCATCAAGGAGATGGCCATTCAAGATTATAATGCTGTATCTATTATCAATAACTTTATTTTGAACTGGTAAGGTCATTCCCAGCTGACGTTCATTGCTCAAACAAATGTAATATGGAGTGGAAATCACATATTTGCAGCAGGATGCTACATTTTAGTGAATTAAATCTTGTGGACGTCATACTGTATCTTGCCATGTAAAAGTCACCCATGGCCAAGTTGTAGCTTTTCGGGTCAACAGCTAGAACAATATCCAACATATGTAGTACTGCTATTTTCAACATGAATGGTAAGGAAGTTGAATCACCCCCATGACGATAATCATTGGCCACAGAGTTTACCCTTATAATGCTATTCATGAGGTTACAGACTGACATATAATAATTTTACTAATTGTAGGTATTAGACCTTTTACAAGGTGAGTATAAGGGTTGATAGCAAAAATTGCATTTCAGTGGTGGGATAGGTGGGAGAGTTGAGAGTACAAGCTAAATGCTTCATCATAGTCAGACTGAACGCCCCGTTGCTGGAATCTGTGTTGAAGGCTGAGTGCAAGATTGTTAAGAGACGGGGATCGTTCTGAATGACTGGGGGAACAGTGGAGTAAGGCAGCACGATTGAGCTCGATGGCCTCATCAAGGTCAGACATGATGCCCTGTTGCAGAAATCTCTGATGAAGGCTAGCAGCAAGACTGTTCAGATACGAGGATCATTCTGAATGATCGGGGGGACAGAGGAGTAATGCAGCCCAATGGAGCTCGATGGACTCATCAAGGTCAGACATGATGCCCCGCTGCTCAAATCTGTCTCGAAGGCTGGCAGCAAGATTGTTCAGAGACAAGGATCGATCTGAATGACCGGGGGGATGGAGGAGTAATGCAGCACGATAAAGCTCGATGGCCTCATCAAGGTCGGACATGATGCCCCACTTCCGGAATCTGTTTTGAAGGCTGCCAGCAAGATTGTTCAGAGCGGAGGATCGTATTGAATGACCGGGGGGACAGAGGAGTAATGCAGCCCGATTGAGCTCGATGGCCTCATCAAGGTCGGACATGATGCCCCGCTGCTCAAATCTGTTTTGAAGGTAGGCTGCAAGATTATTCAGAGACATGGATCAATCTTTATGACCGGGGGGACGGAGGAGTAATGCAGCACGATTGAGCTCGATGGCCTCATCAAGGTCGGACATGATGCCCCGCTGCAGGAATCTGGCTCGAAGGCTGTTTGCAAGATTGTTCAGAGACATGGATCGTACTGAATGACTGGGGGGACAGAGGAGTAATGCAGCCCGATTGAGCTCGATGGCCTCATCAAGGTCAGACATGATGCCCTGCTGCTCAAATCTGTCTTGAAGGCTGCCAGCAAGATTGTTCAGAGACATGGATCGATCTGAATGACCGGAAGGACGGAGGAGTAATGCAGCCCGAAAGAGCTCGATGGCCTCATCAAGGTCAGACATCATGTTTTTCTGCAAGAATCTGTTTCGAAGGCTGGCAGCAAGATTGTTCAGAGACAAGGATCATACTGAATGACTGGGAGGACGGAGGAGTAATGCAGCCCGATTGAGCTCGATGGCCTCATCAAGGTCAGACATGATGCCCCGCTGCTCAAATCTGTTTTGAAGGTAGACTGCAAGATTGTTCAGAGACATGGATCGATCTTTATGACCGGGGGGACGGAGGAGTAATGCAGCACGATTAAGCTCGATGGCCTCATAAAGGTCGGACATGATGCCCCACTGCAGGAATCTGTCTCCAAGGCAGAGTGCAAGATTGTGCAGAGGGTAGCATTGTAACCAATGACCGGGGGGATAGAGGAGTAATGCAGCTCGATTGAGCTCGATGGCCTCATCAAGGTCGGACATGATGCCCCGCTTCTGGAATCTGTCGTGAAGGTTGAAGGCTAGTTCACTGATAAACAAGGATCGAAGAGAGTGGCCTGGAGGACCAAGCTGCAACGCAACTCAACACACTAGGGTAACAAGCGAAGATGACCACTGCCCCATCTCTGTGAAAGGTCTCCAATTGAGTGCAAAATGGAGTCAAATCAGACTGAATACCTACCTAGGGAGCTGAAACTGCAGTACTAGGAAACCAAAGACCTGCCAATACGAGGGAAATGATATGGTGAGTGCTCAGCGATCCCAGGAATTTAACGGCCAGTTAGAAGACTATGGTGAGGTTGAGGCCCTGTTTGAAAATTACATGGGGCCGGAGTATCGCAGCCTGAAACCGCACTGCAGCTGCACATCGGCTCAAAATCTCATGCAAAAAACACGAGGGTGACATGATGAGTTCACTGACCTCAATTACATATAACTATGACTTCCGAACAAATATCACAGGCGTGTTTTACCATCCATTTACTTCAAGGAAGGGCCCTTGTCAGCGAGCTCAGGTAAAAGCATCCAAAAATATGCGGGGCATCACAGAAAGCACCAGTACTAGGCTTCCACCTTGGCCAATCAAACTTGGACTTTTAGAGTCCATTTGTGCTGCTAGCGTAATGGTCAATGTTTGATTTAGTAGAAGGAGACTTGAACGTACGGTTACCGTGAGGCTGAAGTTGCTTCGATCGTAGTGTGACCAACAGGTCTGACACGCCTAGACAGCGGATGGCGTGATCATGCTCACAAGCGCCCATAATACACTTTTCCGAACACTCAACACGACGGCCTTTGCCGTGAAAGGCTTCTCCAGAACTCACACCTGTGCCACTCTCTGGTTGCCTCGCTTGCATTATTATTGATCATGTGCATGGAGAACGAGGGAATCTGATGAAATTAGACAGGCACTCTAGTGCCATTGAAACTACAAGGAACGACTGCGGCAGTCTTCTATCTAGTATCTGGTTTGTATATAGTATACTCAACACATCTCTTCTAGACATAGTCCTCCTCGCGCCCAAGGACATTCTTCCGAGAGACACTCTAGCCCTTTTCACCCACTCCAAAAGTTCCTTCCACTCGGCTCATTCCTTCTCAGCTCATCATACGTATCTCAACATTGACAGCTTATTGGGCCGATCTCTTAGACTCGAACGTGGGCATAGCATCGATCGCATCTCGCTATTTGTTGACTTATATTCAAATTCTATCTGAAGCCGCCAGTGCGAAAAACGTCGTGAAGCATTCATTCACCTTATGGAAGATCTCCAGCGATTCCACCTCCTGTGACTGCATAGTCCTTGCCGTCCGGAGCTCGCAGTGCCCATGACCATGACTAGGAACATCGCCCCAAAACACCCCTGCAACAATCAAACAACGTGCCTTGAGCACGTTGTCCTCAACCATTATCCGGTGGCACGCCTATGACTTGATGCACCACATCTTTGAACATCCCTGGTGGGAGGGATCGACGGAGGACATGACGGTTTTACTTCCGTGTTTCATTCTCGCCAACACTATTCATTTTGCTATGCATCTGGAACACGCCCTTGTCGACAGTGCCGCACTTCTTGACGAAATTGCTGCTTCAATGCAAAAACCACCAGTGAGAATTCAAACAGATGATGAATGCACCAAAGGATATGCTTCTGTTTCGGGTTCCACGGACTCGCAATTGAGTTCAACGCTTGCAGCTTTCAATGCACAACCTTTGAGGCAACACTGCCATTGGAATCCATATGCTTAAAAACCCCGAATGAGATAATGGTGGTCACCAAAATCCTCGAGACATGCACCGTTGCAATAGCCTTGTTCAGTGTCGTACCCTCCTAGGTTTCACGTTGGGACATTCCCACTCATACTGTTCACAGGTTGTCATGGGAGTCCTGCTATGAAACACAGGCACGTCATTGAAAAGTACATACTGTTCACAGTCGACTTATAACTCAAAGTCTGCATGGAAGTGGTCAAGGTCGTGATGACCTTTGAAGAGGTTGCTGCATCCTGTGGAATGTCTGATTCACTGCAAGAATTTATTCCAGTGAAAGAAGGCCAAACGGCACACAGAATACGTGATGTCATGCTGATTGTCTTATTTTCAAAGAAACTCTTGTTTGCTGATGGCGATATGAAAGGTCTGCATGTTTTCGTGTTTTGACCGCTGTTGAACGTTGTACACTATGTTGTTTTGGTGCTGTTCACAAAATAAGTGTTATTCATAAATATAGATTACAAGGAAAGAAAGGAATGATCGCTCAATAAATGAAAGTTACGAATCTCTCGTACAATGGAGTTCCTTACATGGCACGAAATCAAATGTCTGATCAGCGGTGACAGCAACTGTAGAACGTGAGTGGGCCTTTCCCACAGACAACAATTCTGGCACTACGCACTACGTTGGCATGCCTGTGGCTGGACAACGGTTCCGTCAATAGAACAAGTGTTACAATAACATTTAGAGAGGCCCCTATACTCATTTTCCTTCGCTTCTTAAACGGGCCGTCCGTACCACGCTTATCTCTTATCATGCCTATCTCTTATCTTGCCAAGCGGGCTGTCCGCCTCTTCTTTGCTTCTATCTTGATAACACATTTACAAGCTCCGCTTGAACACTGGTATATAAACCTACCTACCCATGATTGTATTCTTTACTTTAATCTACTGGGTTTTACCTGGAACATTGT